TTCATAACTATTGCTTACCTTAAGCAGAAGGCTAAGGAAATAACTCTCAAACCCTGGAAAAATGACTGGGATACCCAAGTCTTCAGACAGGAAGAGGGTAGAAGGGCGAAAGGACTGGGAAGACTTTATCAAGTGCAAGCCAGGAAAAGATCACCAATCATCAAAATGAGACCTTACAACTTTAGTCATCACAGTAGAATGAATCAATCTTCATTTATACAAGCGAGAACAGGGATTAGAAATACCAGGGCCCATTTATTTCGAATTAAAAAATTAGGGGATAACTCTTGCAACTTTTGTTGGAAGGGAAAATAGACTGTTCAACACCTACTTCTTTATTGTAGTAAGCCGGCAAAGACGAATTCTTCACCTTCCAGTGGTGCCGGTGCAATCGCTCAGTATGCTCTGCATATTTGGGATGGCCAAGAAGAATCGCATCCGAATCGAAGTCAAAAGCAAACACATGCATATCTCCATTTGACCACTTCTCAGCCATCCACCACTCACCATTATCTTCTGAGTCCTCAACCTCTTTCTAACCACACATCATCTCGCCTCGCCGACCGATGAAGGCGTCACCCCAATTGCAAATAGGAGCTTGCCTCATTCATCACCGGCCATCACTAACTACAAATTTACGATGCTACGTATACCCGTAAGGAGGAAATAAAGTCATAATTTACAAAGTTGGGGTCTTGGCTTATGGGGGACTGCGGCTCTAATGGGTTTGTACATCTTGAGGAAGGACAGGCGGCTGAGATATTGAACGAGAGGGGGAACAGGTCTCTGAAGACCATGCTGGGACTGATATTTTCGAGGAGTTTTCATCTTTGGATTTTGTGTGGGCGCCAAGACCGAGATTTCGGCTAACTAGCCAGGAGGGCTTCTTTTGTCAATGAGTCAATGGCACTCCCCAGCGCCCTGGAAGGTACAAAGAAGGAGGCTAGAAAGGCATAGTGTGGATTTCCCGAGGTACCCACAAGTCTGCAGCGCCCAGCTGGCCAGCCTCTTCGAACGCATCAGAAGGATCACCATGTCTTCGGATTTAGTCCTAATGTCGGTTTTAGGAGAGCTCCGCACCCAGTGGTTTTTTGCATTTTTTCTCGGCTGCCATACACCCGCAAATGGCCATCGTTTCGTTGGCTGGAGAGGGGAGATAATGAAGGGCTAAGGGCTCCTCTAAGTGTATGATCGAATGAGGACTTGCGAGGGGTGGTACTGTTTGAGGGGAGCTGTATGGGAGGCATAGGAGGGGATATACTACTGGTATAGGTATCCTTGGCCTGTAGGCAGAGAGGACCTGCATATTGTTCGGATTAGGTCCTGGTCAACAATGTCTAGCCTAATTGTGCTATATTGGAGGCTACAGTTCCAATTATTCATGGGGCCATCATCGGGGCTGTGAGTAGTTTCGGTTTGGTGTGCGTTGTGAGATCGATACCTGAGCGTGTTGCATCGTAGTCAGACATGCGACTCGAGTAGCATTTGCACGGTAAACCTCAACCCCAAACTGATGATATGAATCAAGTTTTACATGCTACGTCCTGTATGGCTAGCGTGGTTGGAATATGAGGAGTTTACCTGTAGATAGATAAAGACGTTGTAGCCCTCTAATAGTTGGGATAAGTCTTCTACATTATTATATCGGAATCAATCCTAGCCTCTCATGAAGCAATCTCATGAATCATTTCCAATTTCTGTAACAACAGACATATATATACAATGTCGACAACAAGTTTAAAGTCGATAACATGTCCTACATAGTCATAGACTCAGACAGGACAATAATATGAATTAATAATAATAATAATATTTTAGTAAGTTTAAGCCTGAAAGAAAGATAGCTTTTAAAGGTATACTGCCATTGAAATGAGAGATATTGTTTAATACAAAAATTGGAAAAGAAGCAACTCTCCACTTCCTTCAAAGCAGTGGATGCATGAATGCGTCCAAAGCTGACTGAAAGGGATGAGACTAGAAGATAAGTAGAGGAAATGGGGATTAAATAGTTGTATTTAGATATAAAATAATCAGATTTGCGATAGCTAGATAACTGAATACACTATGAATCAAAAAAAAATAAAAAAATAAAAAAAATAAACAGTGCCACAAAGAATTAATATTTTTCTATAGAGATTCACTTTAGTAAATCCGTTACATTAAATATGCCCTCTGCGGCTACCAGTGATCTTGATTCCTGACACGTAATCCTTCGCTACTGAGTGATCTGTTCCCCAGCCTCAGCATATTTATTTATCTTTATTTAACGTCTGGCGGATCATGGGTCAAGCGAGTAACCCTATTAAGTCCCTACTGAGACAAAAGACGCGCCAGCCTCAGCATAATTAATTGAGTGATTCGAGTCGTGAGAAACAACCCCACGTTTGATCACGTGATTGAATTCCATGAACGAGGCTGGGCCTGAAAGATAGCCCAGCCTAATCGAACGGGGCACAGCCCATAACAGCAGGTATGTCTAGCTTCATTATTCGCACAGGAGAAGCCCAAATTCGGGAAAACGCCGCTAAAGCTGTCTGTCTCGTATCTATTGATTTTCTGGGGTTTCCTACAGGAGATGCATTTACACTGTTCATGTAGTGTGAACTCCGTGCTATCCTTGTCCACAAGGTCTCATATTTCCGTCCAATGCTATTTCTGCTTCTCCCGCGAGCCGGAATTGTTCAAACCAGCCTTTTGCCAGGATCCATTTGGTAATTCTCTCCACATCATCTGGGCTGTTCATCATTGCCGCCGAGGACCTATTTTCTGCCTTTCGAAGCACCTCGCCTCTTCCCATTGCCCACAGAGGAGAAGCCGAGACCATATATTTGACATTTTGAGGCGGATATCCACACTGACATTTTGGATGAATCACTGCGGGCACTTTCCTTCGATACAGATAACAATTGAGATCAATGTGCTCCCTTCTCATCTGAACTGCAATACTGCTTTGGGCCCTGCTAAGGCTCTACTGAATTGTATATATTATTCCTCCAATTCAGGGTGTATCTAATCTCCATAGATTAGATAAGACGCACAGGTCTCTCCAAACTGGTCAGCTAGAAATATCTTCCGAGCCATATGGCCTGAGGATGCAACTGTTACGGGCTAGGCCCGACTGGGTTCTGCCTGGGCTGTTTAAGGCTATAGGGCCCATCCTTATCTTGAAGGCTCAAGCGAGTTTGTAAATTTTCTCACTATACGGGAGTATTATCAGATCACATGTAAAGGTCAAGGGTATCTTGAACAGGCATTGTAGTTATAAATAGCCATAGCTTCCCGCTCGTAATTTCCTCATGGAAAATACAAACATTTAATTGTGGAATTGCCTTCGTGCTTTGGCCGAAAGTCCTAGCCCGTCACAGCAACAGACATAATAGTAGATACAATGTGTAAGACAAGGTTGATTGCGAGTGCTTTCTTATCAACCTTGAGCAGCCTTCTATACAAGCTACGATTAGCTCTAGAAACTTCGCAGTATGCTGAAATTTCACTTAAGGGCATATTTTTAAAGACTTTAAGCTGCAGCAGTTGAGCCGGTTTCGACAAAGTTAAAATATTGCAGGTGCGAAGGTTCGAACTCATTACGAAGAGACAAGTAGATTTATAGAGATTCGGATTATCGAAGGTTACGAATTCAGACGTCCAAATTATCAAAATATCTGTCACAAACTACCTCTGGTACGCCGGGTTGCGCCCAGTCAACCGGGTAGTGACGTACATACAATAACATGATGGAATTTTAATAGTTACAGTGTTATGATAGCTATAGTCGGTGTTCGACACACAAGTTTGTTGCTATGTTAGAGCTGTAGATTATTAGACCCTTGACTACAGTATTAATGCCCGTGTACTTAAGGGAACTCTAGGGCTGAATGGGTAGTGTAGGCTTTAGTCTTGTAATTTACCTATCTTTTAGAATCTTATCATTGACCTGAATATCTCGTCTATCTCCTTGTCAGTCGCTGCCTTCGTCTTCGTTGTCATCATATTAGTCCTGGTCATTCTCCTCGTCCGTGACAAAATTACACAATGAAAAGCGCCCATTGAAGCTATTTAGCCGCTTGTTAGAGAAGGCAAACCTATTAGAATTTGGGATAAGTGGGTCTAACAAGTAGGCCACGATGTTGGTACACAAATAACCACAAATTATGTACTAAGCTTCATTTTGGTAGTCACTTGAATCAATGCGCTCTACAACCTCAATGACTGAGGGGTCATTATTTTCTTAATAAAATCTAAATAAATAGGACAGAAATTTTCTAAACTTCATTTGCTCAGCCCGAACAGAATTAGGAAAAGAACCAATGCACCACCATATCCAGATTACATCAAACAACTTCTTAACATAGGCGTACTTGCAAATGAAATCCGAGGCATGAGTGCTCTTCCTGTATATTGAATCATGCGTCATGTCCCTTTTCTGAGATGTTGTGTCAAAGCTTGATAGCTGCATACACAATTAAAATCTGACGTAAAAAAACATACCTGTAACCCGATCCTTCACCCCGCTTACTCTTGCCTTTGACAAAGTAGCAATTGAGGGCTTCTGATAATAAGGTCACATCGTGGCTTAGACTAGTTGATGCTGTCAATGGGGAAAGCGGCGATAACTAGTCAAAATCTAATGGTGCACTCTGGATTAAAGTGAGTCTTAGAAAGTTAAGTGTTGCTTTTGATTCACAGACCCTGACTTGATACACTTCATAGGGCCGTTGCAGAGCCTAAGACCATTGTTGTAGTTATGAGCCATACGGAAGTCCCATTGCGGAGTGATGAAGAGTGGATGATTTTATAATTAGTTGTTGACAGTGAATAGACTCATAGAATATTATGTTGTAGGTAGATGGACTGAAAGTATAAGACTAAACCTGTATCCATTCATTGTGGGTACATCTGTGAAGCTATACACATGCTCGCCTAACCAGTACACCAGTGGTGTCTGCTGTGGCCTTGAGCCACACGCGATGCCGTAGCCTCGACTGCCTCGTTGTCTCATATCATGACAACCTTTCCTCCGATTCAACACAAATCTCCCATTTTCCTCCATGAAGTTCAGATAATTGTAAGCCCGGGAGAGTATTTGTTATTTGGACTAAAAACTGGCCCGTGGCTGGTGGTAGAAAATGAGGGTTAGTGAGAGTTACGTCGAAAGAGTGCGAAAACTAACAGCCATTCCATATCTTCATATCAAATCGACGTGCCGCAATGATTTTCCCTTCGTCCATCGAGGGGTGCTCGGGTAGCATTGCTTCGGGCCTCGCGTCTATTGCTATGCCGTGAAGAGCTTGATAATATAACCTTGCTTTACTTGGACATTCTAATACAGGGTCATGCCCCATGGCTGGCACTAGGAGCGGAAGACCAGCCAACGCCGCCATCGTAGCTACACTAAATGGCTTCATTTTGCCGATGCTATTGTCTTGAGTTGAAATTGAGTGCTTGAGATAGTGGGCCGACTAGGATCAAAATCAAGGGCTGGAGGAAGATGAGAGACTCGATGTGATGCGGATTGATGGATGTATATTGTTCGACACAGATGCTTCTATCGACGAGGGTGGGAGTAATGGTAATACTTATGGTAGAAAGTAAGAGTCTCATTCATTCTAAATTTTGACATGACTTAATTTCAATTTATCAACCGACCTAATTAATTGTCGCTGCAGCATCCAGATCGTGATCCTTGGCGAGTCCGGCGATAGGAAGGTAAAAGCCAGTCTGTGCCTGGAAATCTTCCAGTTGATGACTGTGCGACTCATGTCAGCCTTATTTTGCCGTGAGAGGAAGATTTAAACTTGTACAGGTGGGCGATTTGCGAGGATAAACTACCACATCTTCAATCTTTCAACTTTCATCAGACGACAACCCATGTCAGTTAGATCCGTTGTCGTAGTCTACATCAAGATTTCTCCTGCTTAGCCAGGCTGGTAGCTCGACAGAAATGAAGCTGGATAGACCCAATTGCCTAGCTTGAGCCTTCCACCGTGATACTTCAGCAGCGCGCCCTGTCGGAATTGTCCCCGGCGTCTAGTGAACTCTCTAGTTCCGTCGACTACAAGCTCAACTGGAGGTACTCAAGTTTGCATAGTTTTGATTACCTTCGATATCTGTGCATATTCTCCGTGTGGCAGAGATACTATAGAAAGTCAGGAGTATTTATACGCGCGACTGTATATTAACAATTCAACTATAGAGTGCCAAGTTCTACGTAGGAATCCACATATATATATACAGACCCGTTGCAAGCCAGTCTCTTCCCTCCAACGTCTGCTCACTCCTAGATTGTTACACTCTCTACCCCTAGAATATTATTTCTTGCAGCCTCTCCGATTATCAGTCTCGGTCTTATTTGTATGGTTTCACGGTTTGAGCAACAAAATACATGGGCAATCTTTTAAGTAAAGTATGTTAATTTTAATCTTCTGAGGGAATTCCGACAGCTAAACATCACATATATTTAATCTTAAACGTCCCTTGGTATAATTGCCTTCGCTAGTCAGCCTAGGCTACTGGAATCCTTAGGCTTAATCGCTGTTCTACACGGAAACTTTTCTAGATCCTTCGTCAATGGCTCTAGTATATTTCACAGGGCTCTTGGGCCGGCCCAATCGACAGTGGTTAAACGCCGGTATTTGGAAGTTACATTCCACCAAGTAGCCCCGAGAGTCTTTACATTGCTAGAGAGCTCACTGGATGGGTGTTGTTAAACAGAGGGGCGCATAGCAAAGTATCTACAATTCAAGGATGTAACTCATGATTACACTTCATCCCCACACAATGTTCGGGTTGGGGAGTGTTTGAAGGTTTAAATTTCTGAGTAGGATCATCAAGATCAATTATATTGACTCGATTTCACGTGGTTAAGCTTAGCTGGGCGACATGATGTTCAGTGATATCTGAAATGCAGTGGCTAGGAAATGCTATCTTGCGATAATTGAGTGGATGGCTGTTGCTAGATCACTGGGAGTTTAGGATCACTTGAGACTTGGGGGTCTTTAAGGATAGACTCATCTGTACATATAAAACAAAGTCAACGGAAAATTAACTATTACTAATTCGTATGGAGAAGAAAGTTCGATATCCTAAACTGTTGAAATCTAGACATGCCAGACCGAACTGCACGCAGTGCGGAGTAGACGAAGACTACTCATCTTCGATCGCTACCAGCTTTGGTGAGGTTTCGGTTGGTAATAATCTCGGTGGTGTGAATGTTATACCATCACGTAATCAGAACACCATGTTTCTACCTAAGCGAGGTAGAACATAGATAGACAATTAGATGTAGATTAAACACTAACTCTTTCAACTACCGAAATATAAGTTTAGTAAAACCAAAACCTCACTGATCCTAACCTTCTATCACTGATCCTTAAATCCCCAATATCTTACGATTCGTACAGGATTGACTTGACGGTCAACATTCACTTCTATCATTCCAAATACCCCCTAAAACTTTAATATAAACAACTATCAATAAATTCTTGTCCGATATTATACACTTGTCATTTGAGATATTTCCTCGTAGAAATCCTTGACAATTTCTAACAATTATTGGTCTGCACTAGCTTAAGGGCCACCTGCAGGAGCCGTTCACTGATCGTGCCCTTTGCCTGCGTTGATTTGAGTGCAGTGGTTTAGCCGTGCAAAAGGAGGCTCCGTTATTGTGATTAAGGTATGAAATGTTGAATTGTTTAGGGATAGTAGAGAGGGCGGTCTCGAACCATTTGAGCTAGTTTGGAAGCTTGAATGTTCGAGACTGGAGGTGTCTGGAAGAATAGCTCGCACAGGAACTTTCAATTGAAGTAAATAAAAAGACATAAGTGTCTGTCTGTCTGCCTTCCTTCCTCTTTCTCTCAGCTTATATATGTACACATATCTACTACCTGACATACGATGATTATATCTAGAAAAAGCTTCCTTACATCACAAGACACAATCCAAACATGTTGTAGCCAAGATATAATCCTAATACGACTCAATACCCAGTCCACCGTGTCTATTACCTGGACCCCAAGTATTTTCTAGCTAAAAATTACCCAAAACACCAAGGGTTTCCGGAGGCAATCACTAAATATGTCAGGTACCAGCTTGGCATGTTATTCTGATAATAATATTACGATCATGTTAGAAGAATGGAATTTACATGAATCATGAAACCTTAATTCAGGAATACGAATTTCATCGGGCTCAGATCCTGGTCTGGCAGGTAGATAACGATTATCACCGCTTGATAATATGGTGAACAGCTTAGTTATAATCATCTACATACGACGGTGGTAGATAGGACTTATTTACCCATATTTGGTACCCGCCATAGAGTACATCACCGTCTATGCAGGAAGTACTACCATCTTCATTCCATGCCATCCTATCCCAAATTACTCTATGCCATAGTATAGAGCTGCGTCCCAATAGTCGATTGTAATGATGGCCATATAGGGCTGTGCAGTACTCGCGCATGGATGTGCTGTATCCCTGGCACTTGGCCGAGATAGAGTTAGATTAAATGCAATAATCATATCACAACATTCATCTACCACCAAGCAGATGTTCAGCTGCCATCCCTTCTCATAACACCTGTCAAAGGTAATTGTAAGTATTTATGATTTTTGTAAACAAGTTGAACGGAGATTCGCGTTTTTGTAATCTAATTCAAGGGGTAAAAGAGTGCTTTGAGTACATGAATACCACATGTAATGGTGCATGAGTACGTCGCCGCGACAGTTCACTTTAATAATTTTAAGACGTCCTGAACACTAAGCCAGCCTGACAGTTGATCAATTCCTCTACCAGAACAAAATTTGACACTATAATTTTGTGGTTTTGGTATGGAGATTGAAAAATGCGAGCTTGGATAACCAGACATTTCAACTTCGCGTCTGAAGCGTCCTCATCAACGCGAGGAGGCTCTTCCGCGCCACGGAACAAAGTTAATGGTACTGAAATACACGTACTCTGATCATTTGTGTAACTTGGAGGACGAAGCCTGAACACCTGTCAGTGGTGCCCTCTACGAACCTGGGAGTGAAATATTCCCCCAGAGCCGAGATTCAGTCACGAAAAAGGGTATGATGTATGTCGGTTCACAGGTGAATGGCGTAGGGATAAGGAGCTTGTGTTTATTTATTTACAATATTTAACGTCATGCCCGCGCACAGCACGTGAGTACCTCACGTACCGGTTTTTTTTTAATTCATTTTATTGTCCTGTCTGAGTCTATGACTATATAGGACATGCAGTTCCTCTCTGCCTACAGGCCAAGGATACCTATACCAGTAGTATATCCCTCCTATGCCTCCCATACAGCTCCCCTCAAACAGTACCACCCCTCACAAGTCCTCATTCAATCATACACTTAGAGGAGCCCTTAGCCCTTCATTATCTCCCCTCTCCAGCCAACGAAACGATGGCCATTTGCGGGTGTATGGCAGCCGGGAAAAATTGCAAAAAACCACTGGGTGCGGAGCTCTCCTAACACCGACATTAGGACTAAATCCGAAGACATAGTGATCCTTCTGATGCGTTAGAAGAGGCCGGCCAGCTGGGCGCTGCAGACTTGTGGGTACCTCGGGAAATTCACACTCTGCCTTTCTAGCCTCCTTGCAACTCCACCCGAAGGTCGTGCTGAAATGTCAGAAAATTCTTGATAGAGCGTGATTGCTGTGTAGTAGCTTAGCCTAACTTCTTTTGTGCTGTCCAGGGCGCTGGGGAGTGCCGTTGACTCATCGACAAAAGAAGCCCTCCTGGCTAGTTAGCCGAAATTTTAGTATTGGCGCCCACACAGAATCCAAAGTTGAAAACTCCTTGAAAATGTCAGTCTCAGCATGGTCTTCAGAGTCCTGTTCCCCCTCTCATTCCAAGTCTCAGCCGCCTGTCCTTCCTCAAGATGTAAGACCCATTAGAGCAGCAGCCCCCCATAAGCCAAGACCCCAACTTTGTATATTATGACTTAATTTCCTCCTTACGGGTATACGTAGCATCGTAAATTTGTAGTGAGTGATGGCCGGTGATGAATGAGGCAAGCTCCTGTTTGCAATTGGGGTGACGCCTTCATCGGTCGGCGAGGCGAGATGATGTGTGGTTAGAAAGAGGTTGAGGACTCAGAAGATAATGGTGAGTGGTGGATGGCTGAGAAGTGGTCAAATGGAGATATGCATGTGTTTGCTTTTGACTTCGATTCGGATGCGATTCTTCTTGGCTATCCCAGATGTGCAGAGCATACTGAGCGATTACACCGGCACCACTGGAAGGTGGAGAATTCTTCTTTGCCGGCTCACGTACCGGTTAGCCCAGTCTAAATTAAACTACCCGACGTGTTGGCGCCCTCACAGACCCACCAAAGCAAACAATAGCTAGGATCTTATCATCCTACGCTCGAAGATTATAGTGTACATGAAGGTCGTCC